CAAGGCCCTATCTTCTTCTTCAAAAACTGGTGCTTGACCCAAAATGGCACCAGACACCATGTTTTAAGTGATGTTGACGCAAGCTACCAATATTGGGAAACGTGAACTCTTGTAGCTTTGTTATTGGTGCTTGAACAGAGTAAGATGAAATAAAAAAAATCTATACCAAGAAGGAGGATATATAACTCTTACGTATATTGGGGACAATAGTATCCCCAAATAACACACTACTCACATGCCGCACAGCATTTTGCCTCCGACGCAGCCGCTCAATGCATGATGCGGAAGACGACTCAGGGTTGATGCCCTGCTGGCCCAAGACTGTACCCGGCCTATGGTCTTTGATGGTCTTTGGCTTAACAAAGCCATGAGTTCTGGAAGTCTTAAATTGCGAACTGAGTCGTAACACGAAAAGATTCTCCGTCGCCAATCAGATGCAGCCACCGCTGGCTGCTGCACTCTCCGCGGGCTTTCTTCTCTCATTGAAGATGCGCCTGCAATTGTGGTGCATGTACGAGAGGGATCTAGAGTCTAGAGCCCCTGCTCCAACAAAAAAAGACAATTAAGGAAATCCTAGCACATTCCCTTCCCTCGTGAAAATCCACGCCAGCAATCCAAACGGCATGTCTTGCCAAAATGGAGCCTGACGCCCATCGCAGTGAGGCACACAGGACAATGGCGCAATCGCAGCCTTATCACCTCATGCAGGGGTTCATGTTTCCGTAACCAGCCTGATGAGGCCCAAATACTGCATCACGTGTTCCGTTGTAGAATCACAGCGACAGGAAGACCTGCTCTGAGAAGGAAGGCTTGCAGGCCGAGAGGCATTGAACTCGACTCTACCAAGAAGTCAGCCACTGCGTTCAAGCTGGGGTAGTCGAAGACCATGGTGGACGGCCTTGTGTCTTACACATATTATGGAAAGGAAACTGATTCATCGGCGTGACATTCAGATCTTGAGCCAAGGTACAGCTTGAGGCCTGACTCTCGCGCGAGCGTCTCACGGAAAGAGATGGCAGCTAGACCTTGGACAATCTAAGTTCCGGCTGTGCCTGTTTGAAGCAGAGAAAAAGGTACACCGGCAGCTTGGCAAAGGATTGCAGCACCGTCTCGCGACATTTTTGCAAGTCACACTTCATTGCAGAAACGGACGAGGGCATCCAACTACTCGCACAAATCCACAGGCACAAGGTTACCTTCCAGGCACCCTGCTATCCAATCCGATATCCATGAGAGCATCCTCAGCTTTGCATCGTCTGACAAGCTCAGGTTCACAGCGCAAACCGATTGCCAGCTGGCTTGGCACAAGTATGCACAGTCAGGCAGCTTCACATCTGTTTATTGATTGGTCCAGAAATTGTTCAGAACATCAAGGATTTGGCGTGCGCACCAGCCACGAACAGTTGCACCCCAAGTCTGCTTGCAGCCCACGAGGCGTCGAGGGCAATGGGATCATCGGAGCCAATGGCCTGGCTGGCTTCTGCGCTCATGGAACTTGCGGACCTTCTTTCCGATATGTGTTGAAATTGCTGAGGGTGACAGCAACTTTCCCATACTTTGGGGTCTTAAATCTCTTGCCAACCCTTGGACTCCGCAGGCGCTCAAAGCCTCAGGCCACGTATCCTGTTTGGAATGCCTGAGGAAAAATTTGCAGGGGCTGGCTGGCCCAGCCCAGCCTCCGCAGCGACGTTGAGCGCCAATGATCGGGCCTGTCATTCACTGCTTCGTGGCTGCTACGACATTTCTATCTTGCAAGGATTAGCTTTCCTGTCCGGGAATGGACGGCCAGATGCCCAAAGGCATATGTTGTCTGTGCGCTCAGTTGCTGGTCGTTGAATCTTTCCGTGCCTTTTCCACCGACATCCGCGGCTCCTTGGCCGCCACAACCACCGAGGGCCCACTAGCCTCGCAAAGCAAAGTGTTTAGAGTCCGTCACTAAGCATTGCCACACCTGGAAGCATCTTGACCTGATGCAATTGCCAACCATGATGCAGCAGCCTCCTGAGACGGTGTCTTTGTTGCCGTCGGCACATGAGCTCCCTGACAATCAACAGAGAGAGAAAGAGAGAGAGAGGGCAGTCACTTCGACTCTGGAACCAGCCTGGGAAGCAGCGATCTCATCGATTTGCTCAAGCGTCTTCTGCGCCTGGAAGGTGCGGTCATCTCAAGTCATGTGGCCGTCCGACATGCACGCACGCAGCTGGCCCAGACCAAGATTGCAAATCCAGGTCAAGCGCCTTTGGGCGCGGCCCCATCTAGAAATTGCGCGCATTTCAAGTTTCCATAAACCAGACACCTTGTCCACCCCCTCCATGTCGTTGATGCTGCTGAAAAGCTCGGAAGCTTCCTGGACGTGCGGTTGCTTGATTTCTGGCAGTGAGATCTTTGGGGGTGTAAACTTGCCGAAGCCCGGTTCTTTGCTGAAACCGCGATACATGGTCTTACAATGTATACAACATCTCGAAACTTGCCAGATGGTGGTCCTCATGCGGATTGATCCTACAAGTAACAGGCTCAAGAAACTACGCATGAAGGAAAATCTTTGAACAACAGAAAGCTTGTCCGAAGGAGTGCTTCAGGGCTCTGCAACCTGTATCTTTTATACCAGAAGTGCCTTCGTGTACTCGCGGCCCCTGTCGATGTTGCCATCCAGGACAGAGCTCTCGCCAAGCATCAAGATAGACATGGCCTCGCCCTGCCTTCCACGAGAATGGACTATCCGCTGGACTTGATCTGAACTGGATTTGGGTTGAGTCGGTGTGGACAACGCCCTCACAGAACTCGAAACATGCGGACTGAGCGCTTGCAAATGTTCCCTCAACAGTCACAGCTGCAAACACCCAAATTTCCTGCTTGGTTAGCGCTGGCAGCAACTGCTGCAACTGCAACAAACCCAGATCCTTGCTGGCCCTCAAACGATAATTACTCTGACTTCTGCAGTCCACACAACCGCGCCAACCTGTCCCAAGTCGTGGCAAAAAGGTTTCGGGCTTCCGTGGCTGCCTGGCAAAAGCTGGGAAAGAGCAGTTGACCGCTGAGAAGACCTTTGGGACATTCGCATATCTTGAAAGCATTCGCTTGGTCGCAGTGGAAGATCACCAGGCTCAGGAGTCTCGGGCTCGCAGCTTTGATTTTCCGTCGGTCATTGAGAGCCCTTTTATATAAACTGGGCAGGGAGGTCCAAGTGCATCACCGAAATACATCAAAATACCCCCAGCCTGCACTGCGGCACTGGTTCGCCCCGCCACAGCGTGACATTGCGCCACAGAATACCTTCCAGCGTTTGAGAGCACAGGCTGGCGCGAGACGCGCAATCGCTCACGCCATTGATTGCTGACATCACTTTGACTAATGGTAAGAGGGCTGAGACAGTAGAGATGATGTCAGCAGAAATCCTGAAGGTGCCAGACTTGCGCCAAATTTAGATGCCGCCGGGCAGCGTGGCTATTCCAGTCATCCTTGGGATGGAGCCAGCAGTGGCAAGTGCACAACTGCAATTAAGGTATTATGAAGCTACGAGTAGATGATCTACGCCGTCATCCTACGCTTAATCTTGCAAGCGGCTGCTTGTCGCCCATCTTCCGCGCAAGTGCCGCAGCTTCCCGCGCAGGGCGGACAGCAGAGGCCTCAGGGGCGCGGGGAAGAGGGAAAGCGCAGCTCAGCAAGAAGAGGATTCCGAGCCAATTCTTAGATCCCAAACCGCCCAAACCTCAACCACGCACAACACCTACAGAGACATGCGAATCTACACAGGCGTGGCCTCCCTCTGCATGATGTGCAGGATTGCCTCCTCATCTGGCATCTCCTGGAGTTCTGACAGTGCCAGGATTCATGGCAGTCAGAAAGCTTCGAACAGCAGAGGTCTGAAACTCACTGCAGCTTCCATGTTTTCAAGAGCTGGTGCGCTTCTGGGCCAGGCCTGGCTTCGCTTGATGATGCTGTTCAGCGTGGCTTGAGCCACCAGGTTCAGCATCTCCACCTTCCCAAGCGTGAGGGATCGGAGCCCAGAAGTTGATCACATCTCTGCATCCCCTGTGCCCAATTTGTGAAGGGCTGCATCCCGAAAACCACCGAGCAGTCTGAGCGCCTCAGCTTTCGCATCTCCCGAAGCTCGCGCAAGGGTCAATGCCTGGGCACTCGTCTTTTCAAGATGGCTTCAGCAGGAAAGGTGCGCGATAGCAGCTTTAGTACTGTCTCAAGTCACTTGCCACATCGCCGCACAAAAAAAAAAGGCATTAGGCTAGCAATAACATATGATTATGTACCAACAATCGCTCTCAACTCCGAGAGCAGTGCTTCGTTAGCGGAGCGAACTGCCTGGCGTTAGCGCTCCCACAGCGCGTGAAGGACACAAAATGTGCTATCTTCAGCTGTGAAAGTCGCGTCGGATCGCTGACATTCGAAGATAGGGTGTAGATGCCCGTCAACCGAAGAACACACACTTGAAGTCTGACAGTGTCATTCTCTTTCAAGGAGGTCGGATGAGCCTCATCATCGCAGCTTTGCGCTACAAACAGCGTGGTGCTGCTCCTGAAGGCTGCGGAGCTTCTTTTGCTGCCAGCATTAGCATGAGGCTGTTCAGGGAGACCCTTGGTTCACAGCCTGGGGTGCCGTCCCTACTCCTGGAGTCATGCCTGCAACCTGGCTTAATGTGCATGGTTTTGATGCCTGACACCACCCTCGCCCAGTTTGTGAGATTGGGCGTCCCTATATGCTGAGGCCCGGACTTCATGGCGTAAGCCTGTCATCACTGGGTACGTTTCATGAATTACGGCTCTGGAACGAAACCTTAACAAGCTGTGGCCTTGCCTGCGACCGCTTGTCGCCCACTTGCTGGTAAAGAGTCTGGGTTGTTCGGCACGCTTTCAGAGCATCTGCCTTGCCAGCAAATCAACATCACAGCAGTCCAAGATGTTGCGAGGCCTTGTTGCAAGGGTACTTCTGCGGCTGAATCTGCTCATCATTCAGTTCCCAGATATTATCAAATTGTGGAGAATGATGCAGTTGACCCACCTGACCCCAGCCAGGTCTTAACTGACCTGACGCCTTTTGTCGGCTGGCTTGACACTGGATATTGGAGTTGTTTGCAAGACTTCCGGCAACATGCCGTTGATTGCTGCAACTAGTGGCGGAGGTTGTGACCGAAGCTGATGGAAGCCTGGGAATTGCAAAACCTTGTGACGTAATTTCTCGAGGTCAACTATGGTCGAAAACAGCCTTGTCGCCCATGTTCTTCTGGACTTCCGAGACAACGCTCCAGCTCAGGCCCTGTCAGATCTGGCTCAGAAGTGCTGGGAATGTCTGGGAGGGAAGTTCTTGAGTTCCATGCAATGAAGCACACAACAGCACCGGCTGACAAACTTCTACTTCTTTTAAGTCTCTTGCCCACCGAACGTGAGCATTCAGGTGTGGATGCAACCGTTGGCCCTGCTCGGCCTCACCCTTCTTGTCCCCGGTCTGTTGAAAAATCACCTGCAACCAGTGGCAAAGCTCAAGAAGCGGCCACCCTCCTGTCGCGCATACACAACAGCTCAGCATTTGGTTTGCTCATGCAAAAGTTGCTGGCGATGCCGCCTTTTCCCGTGCCCCCCTCCTGCACCCATCTGCCTGGGCTTCTTGTGCCAAGTTGAGAGCTGTGTCGAACTGCCCTGCATCACTGGAGCTTGGGGCTCTTGGTGGCCAGGACTCTCCACATGCACAACGCATTCAACCGCAACAGTGTGGCACCTTCCACAAGATGCTCGAGGCTGACTGCAAGATCCCTGAACTTGGACCTCTTGCCACAAATCCTGCCTAAGGTGGCATGGATCTGCGATTCCATCAGCATAGCATTTGCCTGCTGAGGCAGCGGGAAGAAGGGTTGCATTAAAATAGCGAGCCTTATGGCCTCACAGTGTACAGCACAGCGATCAAGACTGAGAACAAAATCTCGCCAACCCCACCCAATGCCCTCAAGGAGCCTCCCTGGAGCGCTTACCGATCTCCTTGGTGGTCCGCCGAACCTCCTGGGCCACCTGCCACGCACGGCGTGTAGATGTGTGTAACACAAATCCACATCGGATCGATGTTGAGATAAAGAAGCAGTGCCATTTGCACCATGACCTCAGCAAGATCATTAGGGACGCTTACAGCTTACAAACCGGGCATGATCCCTCCTCCAGGGCAGCGCGGCAATCGCCCTGGCATAAAGGGCTTGGAAAGAATAACACGCTTGCAACCAAGTCATCCAGCCTTGGCCATTAGGATCTCCAAAGCCGTCCTCAGAAGCTCATCCAAGGCATAAGTCAGTCTGCAACGCAGTGGCAGAGAAAAGCCAAACCCCAGCTCACCCAAGAAACAAGGATCAGCATCAATCACAAGGAATATACTCAAAGCCCAGCCACAAGTCATGGAGCTGGCAAAGTGTCAAACTCACTGTCCGTACCCAGAAACTGCCTACGAGCCAAGATTCTGAAGGACCGTAGCCCTTTCAGCATGCTCGCCCATGTCATCCAGTATGGTTGAGCTCTCCGTCACTTTGGTCAGTGCCTCCTCGTGTAGTCGGAGCCTTGCAACTCTTCTCTCAGAGAAGGTACATTTGCTGCGCTTTCTGGAAACTGGACATTACACATCCATTCCTGGCTTCTCGTATCATCCATGCACCAAACTTGAAACAGTCTGATGCCATCGCTTGCAGCTGGCCTCAAGCATGCCTGAGCCGCATTGTGCAACATGCTAGCCTCCCATCTTTTCTCCTTTGGCAACGAAAGCTCCACAATCACCAGCCAGGGCTTCAGGAGAAAACACAGGCTTCCAAGCATGGCAGTCATCTGCTGACATGACATGCACCGCGTCCTCGAGTTTCTTGCTGAGCTCATATGCTCGCATACTGAGGTCACGCGCCTGCACAGAAAAATTGGAAACCCTGGCAACGCCCCCTGGCACTTAGCTGCTTCATCTCATGCGCTGCAGCTCTTGCCCCTATACCTGCCCATGTCGGAAATCCATCAGCTTTAGCAAAGAAGCAAAGTGTTCATAGGGTCTTCTAGCACAGGGCACTTGTGATTGTGATATGTCTCCAGTTGCCCAAAGGTCTAAGGCAGGCAACTCATGCAGCTGCCGAGCGGAGATCACTTTGGGGCTCTTATGGGTTCTCTGCAGAACTTGAACGCTGACGTCGCCCGACCCACACCTACAAGGGCATGTCTTTGACATGTCTCTGATGTGACTGTTGAAGCCAGAGCTCCGTGTAGGGAGCCCTCTTAGGCATGGAGCAGTCCGCGAGCCTGTTGCAAATCACCACTTTCGTAAAAGGAGTCTGCTTCAAGGTGCACGGCAACCTCAGCACTTTGCACAGCCAGATTAAAGGTAGTCAAACGGTTCAAAAGGTTCAAAAGCTTTATCATCCACAGAAAATCGCCAACTCTTTGCCAGGCAGCCAAGGTTTCCAGAGCAAGGACCTGCACGTTAAATGGCAAACGCTACCAACACGAGCCAACAAAAGCCCGATGCACTCACTGCTCCTCAATGCTGACTTGCAGTCTCTGCCGGGCCCTCTGGAAACTTCTCAACCCCTCCTCACGTGCCTCGCAGCGGCTGTCACCCCTTTTTTCCGCTTCCTCGACGGCTTCCTGCATTCCGTTATGAAGCGGCAGGTGGGCAGCTTTCCGGTGCTACAGGCTAACGCATCAAAACGCTCGCGGTCCCTTGCGATGCGCATCGCACCTTTCACATCTGCCGCCCCAACCTTGGTTCAGGATCTCTCACAGCCTGGTTGCGCGAGCCTACCAGCAACATAGATATCATCATTGCTTGGCTTCGATTTCTTTCTGGAAGATTCGCGCTAAATTCTCATGTGATCTACCAAGCAGAGGGGCTTGCACATGATCCATCCCAAGTGGCCAAGGATTTGCAGAGTGTCATCTGGAACTCATGCAACGCCCCGTTGTCCTTCCGAAGCCTCAGGAATGCTCTCTAGCGACATCAACAGCTGTCACGATACGTCACCCTTGCAGCTCCTGCTTCCGCGACTTGTGTAGCTGCTGCCACTACGCATTTGATGGCGGAATCCGCCGTACAAACGATCTACTATCTCCTGAAAACCAGCAGATGTCATCCTGTAATGAGCCAGTGTCATGAACACCGCGAGTAAATGCTGACTGCAGCCAATACAGATGTCCATATCGTGACAAGTAGCTAGTCATTCAGATCTTGGCTCTAGTTTGCCACAAGTGCCCATGCTTTCTGAACCGCTTCCACAACTAGATAAATTTGGAAGAATGGGTCTTTGATAAGACCAAGCAGCTCTTGGAAGATGCGGACACTTTCCTGTCAGAGACCACAGACGGGAGCGCATCAAGTTGGAGTTGGAAAGGTACAACATGGTACAACAGCGCCAGGCTGCCACAGCCCTGAACGGTAATGGCAAAGTGAACAGCAACTAGACAGGCAAACTTGAACGCGGCTGCGCAAACCTGACTGCCCCTGCGAAGGCTCTTCTGCACCTTGGCATGGGTCAGTGCATCCCGCGGCCGCTCGACCATGAGATACCACTTGGCCACGTAGTGGCCTTGGTGGCAGAAGAAGCGAAAGAGAAGCAGAAGTTGGAAGCTGGCCCAAACCCAAACCGCAGCAAAGCGCAGCAAAGCGCAGCAAAGCGCAGCAAAGCGCAGCAAAGCGCAGCAAAGCGAGGCCGAGGGCCCCGGCACTGCCAGGCCAGCGGGCCAGGCGTGCCCAGCTTTCTCTGGATGCTCAAGGCGTCCCTCGGCCCAAAGAGTGTTTGGAAGAGCTGAGCCCCCTCAGGTCTGCACTAAGGGAAGGCGCCGGGTGAATCTTACTCGTAACGAGATCCCTTATGGTACCAGTCACGAAATGACAGTGCAAGACGTCAGAATTTCAAAGCACCTCGATGGGTAGCAACTGTCACGCTGGATCAGGGAACAAACTATGGCAGGATAGCGAGACATGATTCAGTGACATGGGTCCGCTTGCTACTGCGTTGCAAAATTTCTTGGTTGGCTGCACATCCTGATGAGGACAGTAGAAATAAGACGTGGGTGTGCCTGACCCCCGTCATGCGATGCTTTGGAGGATTCGCCTTGTCGCAGGACTGATAGTTCGTAAGGCCTGGTAGCATATGGACTACTTTGGCTCCCGAGCTGAGCAGGCTTGTTTAGTTTTTGCACGTCTGCAATCTGACTGCAGTGGAACTTCATAGACAAGAGTCTGCTCGTACCGCATACCCTTTTCCATCGCGTCCTTGACCGTCGGTCCGTTGCTGATGGCAACAGCACCTCGGATTATTCGGCCAAATCAGCCGCAGGGAAGAGCTTGAACACTTCTGGACTTTGTGCAGGCTACAGCTCTCTGCGTGAATTTGCTGCCATGGCACAGACATGCAGAGCCCGCGCTTCCTGCAAGAAAGGTAATCGTTGAAAGTGCAAGGAGCTGGAGGCTCCCACGTCACATAGAACCCAGCAGAATGAGTCAAGGACCAGGATAAGAAAACATCCCGCTTGCTGGGCTTGAGCTTTTGAAATTGAAAATTCTGTTCTCCATCCCGAGGATTACCATTGTGGCTACCTCACCTGAGTCCGAAGATCAGAGTTTCAGGCCGAAGCAGCAGATGTAGATCCCAGGCCAAAGAACGCCTTCTACTGGGCGCCAAGCCCTTGTCCCATTGATTCCTTGAAATAAGATTGAACCCCTGGCTTAAGACTCCAGGTGCCTGCCGACGGTTTGACCCTTTCTGAGCCAACGCTAATCCGCCCTCGGCAAAGGCCAGCGCCTGCCAAGCACTACCCACCATTCAAGGTCACACTCTGCGGGACCTTTGCTTGCACATCTGGCTACTCTTCGTGCAAATCGCTACCCCCCAATCACTGGGATTGAAGGGAAAAGAAAATGCCAGAGTCGGTTCTTCTGTGTGCCAAATTTAAAGAAACTAGATCAAGCCAGCATTACAAAGAGCATCGAAGAGCACTCACGCTGCACACCCACAAACACCATTGGACCGCAGCCCCCAGGAACCTCAGCTGGGTCATTCAAGGCCAGCGACGCAGAGGCGAGTGCAAGGTGAGCGTTCACCTGGCTAGGATGGGTTGATGCTCCTCACTGCCTCACAGAGCTGCAAACCAGATCGCCTCACTCTGAGCATCGCCAAGCTCCGCGAAGGTGTCCAGTGCCCGCTTTGCGGCTGCCCGGGCCTTTGGGTGGCTAAGTAAGTACACGGTAACTTTCAGGCATGCGAAGGTGACATTGGAGGGCAACCCTGGAATGGAAGAGGCGCTCCCGAATCCCAAACTTCACTCTCCTCTCGCCTCCTGTCGCTTTTTGTTGCCTCGCCGGCTTTCAGGTAGCCTGAAGAATCAGCACGAGCTTCAAGCATCCAACAAAGCTCTCAGCAGTGCTTGCAGCAGCTACCGAACCAAACGAATAAGTTGCACCTAAGCTCTACAAGTCTAGGACTCTGCCCTCGAAGACATACTTGATTCAAGACCTCACATTCAGAAGCTTTGTATGAGGGCCCCACCTGCGGCTCTCCAGCAGCGCCTGGACTTTGCAGCGAAGTCGGGTTTAGTGATAGTGGAAACTCATGGTTCTGAAACGACTTGAAGCTGACGGTCAACCTGATGATGAGCCAGTCAACAGACACTAGCTGCAAGAGCGCCTCAGCACCGCAAAGGAGCATCATGGCCTGGACCAGAAACCGGAGCTGCAAGCTCAGAGGTTCTTGAGAAGCGCCCAGTTCTTATGAGCTGGTCATGGCCTGGGCATTATCACTTCCTAGCATTGGCCGCCCATGGTGTTCGCATCTACTTTCCGATGTTCCTCATGTTCTGGCTGTTGCTACAGCTGCACTTCTTGTGCCGGTTGACCAATCGGGTGGTGAACTTTGTAAGCCCCAGGCCAAGCTTTGGCCTACACGCCCTCAAGATTCAAACTCCTGTGCTGTATCACACCTCATACTACCTCCAAAGCATCCTGCCACAGAACCCGGGCCACCTTCTCCTTCAGAAGGAATATCTGATAGTAGAATCCCGTGCCACTGGAACCCAGTTCGGGTGTTCCTCTCCGCGTCGGTCGCCCTTGTCGCGGAAGAAGGCCAGCTCCTCGTTCGCGCGCTTCTCGGCCTACGAGGTCAACCCTTGCAAATGAAGCAACAACTCTGAGGCGAGGCTTCAATGAGAATACAAGCATATTGACAATCTAGTGTGCGCCTTACCAAACGGAAAAAGAGGCCCCTCAAGCTGGTCCAAACTCCAGTCCCCCGCAACAAATGCCTAGGTTCCTAGAACTTAGGAGCCTCGAGGAGGATGGCCTTGCGCTCTGCTCCATCCTCGCAAGCTGATGCTAGAGATGCTGTGAGTCAATGCACAATCTTCTCCAAGATACGCTCCACATCATTCCACATCCCTCCAGAGGTTGCAGGATGGAGGCAATACTTGAAGTCTGAGAGTGATCGGAGGTTCAAGGGTGAATTGCTCAGGCTTCTACTACCGAGCCGAGCATGCTTACAGCCTTCCTTCGTAGAAATCCATGACACGCAATCTACACTCTGGGTCGTTCCGAATTGGTCCTTGAAGCGCGGCTGCTGCGCCTTCACGCGGCAGCAGTTGGCTATGATCCGTAGCCTGGCGGTGGACGGCAAGGGTGTAGTGCAGGAGTCGGGATTGGGGATCAACGGCGTGACTGCTGGGTTTGGGTATTTGCTGCGTTCATGCAGATCTGAATCTGGTCTCTGCGATCATGCCCGCAGCAATATCTGCCGTCCTTCCCGGTATTGACAAGCCCGCGTCACAGAAGCAATCTAAGGCCCGAACGCATCAGCTGAAACCTGCCAGAGCTGAGAGCTGTTGAAGTTCGCTCAGCGTGGGCAAACTTCAATTCCGGTCTCCAGAGCCCGGCCTTGAGATCCCCCTGCGCCTTGGCAGTAGCCAGTACCTCCTCTGCGAGGCGTCGGGCCTGGGACGAAGCTGCATATCAACAGGCTGAGAAAATGTCTCTTACTTTCAGCGTGGCTTTGAAACGTGTTTGATACCCCTCGGCCAACAACCTTGAGTGTACAGGTTCCAGCACTGCGTTGCCATGCAGACATGTTGCATGCTGGCCTCTGCAGGTAAGGGGCTCCCAACAAGAAGCCCTCAAGACCGCCCCACACCGTTGTTGCGGGGTTGACGGGACTAGCAATGAGGGCCTCTGAGCCAATCATCATCCAAAACAGCCGTTCTTTTACTCGCTACAGAAAGCTGCAATCTGTGCCTGTGGCCTTTTCAGGTTCCTCAGAGATGAGGAGGTCCTCTGCCTGGAAAGACATCAAAAGTGATCCGCAAACCGCTATGTGAGGGCTTTGCCACTTTGCTCTGCAGGCCTCGGCCAGAGGATCCTCGGCTGCCCCCATGGCTTTTCAAGTCACCTGAAAGCTCAGACTCCAATCAAAGGGAAGCACAAGGGCTTATCCGCGCCTTCTAAGAAACCGCGCCATCTACGGGTCGCGAGAAGCATGGAGCCAAAATGCAGCGTGCACCGCACTTCAAGGGTTCTCCTAGCTCTCCCCATTCTCAGAAACACCTGCAAGGCCCTGCACAGGTGTCAATACAAGTTGCAGTCAACGGCCCACATGGCTGTAAAGGAAACCTAGCAATCTGGTCCCGCGGACCTGCCAAGGCCTCCGTGGCATTCCTTGGCGTCCAACCATGTGCGTCGAACGGTCAGACTCACTTCAGATGCGCGTTGCAACGCAAGGCATCTGTGGAGTCTAGACTTTTCAGGTTTCGCCAATCACGCCTGTGGATGAGCAGCCAGGTGCGAATCCCAACAGTAATGTAGATTCCAATGTAGGTGTTGCCAGGCAGCTCCATGGTCGCCGCAGACTCGCGCGAGGCACGCAGGTCGCGCACGACGCCGTGCCTCAAGGGCGGCTTTCTGAGCCGTGACTGCTGCTTTTCGATGCCCGACGCCGCTGCCCTACTCACTGATATGATGACGGACGTTGATTTCTCCCCTTCCCAGGGTCAGCGAACAGGTCTGAATAACGCGAGGCCCCGGCTGGCTACTGCTGCTACGCACGGTCTGCGCAGACCATGGCCTCGCCAAGCGCGTCTCCTGGGGCAGGAAGGACGGGCTTCCTCGTGATAAAGATACAACTCTGAACATACTGCACGCGCAGGCTACACAGTGCCTGGGCCGGGCGCGCGCCGGCACTCGCCTGAGTCTGCAAAGGTTAATCTCTTCCCAGCCTGCTCTGGCTTGGCTCACGGCAGGGCGTATTCGCGGAGCATCTGGCGGCCGTGGGATGAGCCTCACTCCGGTTCAAATATGGCCGGACAGCAGCTACCATGACAATGTCCAACTTCCGATTTACAGAATATATGTTGCTCGGTTCTCTGGCCTCGAGCCATTTCACCACTTGCCAGAACATGCAAGGAGAGGGCGCCCTATTCCTCTACCAAAAACAACCTGCCACAAATGGCGCTTGGGCAATAGTGCGAGCTCTCTGGGGGCCTTGCTTGCCATTGGCCAGGCTACTGTGATATTGCGCTGCTGCCAAGTGCACACGGGCCTGACAGACACACCATCCTCGTTGCTTGACAAGGCTTGAGCGTGCCCTTTTCCTGCACACCATATCCGACACGGCATTCCATGCTGCCGCCGAATTCCATCATGATGCTGGAACAGGTTGTGGCTACCTATGGATCATGCGCCTCAACCAGGTCAAGGTCTCCCACGGAAGGTCCTGCTTGCACCTCCACCTGCAAGGAACGTACCAAGAGACTTCCCTGCTGCCTCCCTGATGCAGGCCTCGCAGGCCTGCATGTCGTCCATCCTCCGAGGCTCGCAGCGGAGCGCCGAAGCATATGCAGCAGATGCCAAATGACTATGCTTAGGACTAGTGACTAGAAGATTGGAGTACAGTGACAGTGCGCAACGTTTCGCAGAAAACTCCCTCTCTCCAGTCCTGCCATCATCGTCACGTGACATCGCTCATGCGGAGCACACTAGCCACATCAACGAGAATGCCACTTTAAATCTTTCCAATTTTTCTCAAGACAGATCGCCGTACCAGTGATATCAGCTTGGAATCTCAGTTGAAAACCCGCACTGGCTTATCTCAGAACCATAAGCCCATTGAACTCTCGTTCCATGAAGATAACATGTTTGGATACATGCTCCCATCCTTCTACTTGCGATGAGCGGGCGCGGCGAGTGGGCAGCTGTTAACAGCAACGCTTGCAACAAAGGGTTGGAATCATTTAGCGATTCCCAACCATCTCCTAGAACCTTGGCGCTACCAAATGAAGCTCTCTGGCATGAAGACGCTCCTGCAGAAAAGCTGCCTCAAGCAAAATCTGAGCAACACATCCCGCATTTAGAAACCTGCAACGAACAACGAATCTTAGACAGAGTCCGTGCACCTGCCCGAACTAAAGTTTAAGTGGCTTCGTGATTAGCGCGCACGGACACACAGGCACACACTGTCCCGAACCTGGTTTACTCTGGACAGAGTCCTCACTGCGCTGCGCGCCGAAGGAGATAGTCGGCCGCACGTGCGGCGGAGGGATGGCCAAGTGAGTCTGCACACAGTTTCCCAGGCTGCAAACTACATACCTTACACCCCTCATCACTGCAGACACACAGCTCTAATGCCAGCCAAGGGGCCAGGATCAGGCTTTTTGGATGATGGTTTGAAGCCGGGTCGAAGCCCATTCGCTTCACATCCCTGACAGCATTGAATAAAACTACAGCAATGGATGCATTAGCCTTCTTTGGCTGGCAGTCATGTCTGATGAGCTTTCCAGCATGTTCCAAAGGACAGCTGAGAGCCCTTGCAGGAATCAGAGACCTTGAGGGTTGCAGCGCATCAAAATGCTGAGGATCCTGCGCATCGCTGATTCTTTTGAAGATTGTCAGCGCCTCCAAAATTCCCAAGCTGAGCAGGGTGCTCAGCAGGTGCTTGCAGCTCCGAGCATCGTGCTTCAAGCTGCGAGATCCAAATCAAATTCAGAATTCAGGTGTGATACCCGGAAAGTGCCTCGTCTGCAGACATCATGCGCTTTCGATCTTGACCCGTTGCCTGAGAAAAGCGGACATCGAAGGGATCGCGAAAGGGGAGGAGCTCTTTGAGGGCCAGGCCTCCTGGCCCTCGATCTCTGGGAAGGACACGTACAAGACCTCCATAGGAAAGGCTGTGGGAAAGTCAAGTCAAAGCAATCTTGCCTGAAACTGTATTTGACATCTCCCGGGCTCTTCGAAGGGCACTTGAGTTGCGCAGAAGCCGCGTCAGGATCGTCACGCCACGGCGAAGGGTGTCTCTTCTCTGAGAAGGCAGCCGTCGCATCTATGAAGTACCGAGGTTGCAGATACCTCACAAGCGGACACACTGGAAATGAATATCAATTTCACGAGCATAACTCACACAAACTCTCCATGGCCCCCGTGGCTGGCTTTGGAAGAAGCACACAGAAGCTAAGGGGCGAGACGAAAAGACACGTCAGGGAAGGTACATGTTGCACGACATTGCAAGCCAACAAAATCCAGCAAGCTGCGCATTCTTGCCGCAGGCGACTGCAGGCTCCTTTCTGGGGCCTGGACCCGCAGCCTCCTCTGAACTTGTTGACGTCAGCGTCTGCATATGTTTGAGCAGTTTGCAGGTATGGAGTAGGCGGAGGCGGAAGCTTGCTGGAGCTAAGCTATCGGACGGCGACAGCATCCGACAATTGCTGTTCCAGACATATTGAGCACAGAAAGGATTTTTAAAACGATGACAAACACGATCTCAAGTCCACCGATCCACGCTAGATCCATCTCTGCAGGACACAGAACCATGCTCTCAACAGTTCACCAGCACGGCTATAGCCCGCGGTCCGCCTGAGACGCCGTCAGGGGGTTGTGCCTGCACGGTGCACCAGCCAGGCAATTACTGCTAAGGCAGCAAGCCTGCTGGTATTTTTGCGCACATTTTTGTGTGCTATACTTCTGGGCAAGGTTGCAGAATAGCTATCTAGAATCCATTGCAAGCATTCAGCATTCGGGGGATCCCTTCTTTGGATCTTGCGGAATGGAATGAGTCGGCCTCGAGCAACCTAGCTTCCAAGGCAGCAACACCTTTGCAAATTGCTCGGCATAAGCTCTAGAGCCTGCTCCAGTACAATCAAAGATTTATTGTACAATGTTGGGACCGTCAGGAACTTGCAGAGTGTAGCAAGGACTTCATGCTAGGAACCGCAAACTGCGAAATAGCAGAAACAACAGTCGTACCCTTGTGACTAGAGTTGCCAAGAGCAGCCTCCTCGTCCTCCTGCTTCACGCTGCACGTCCTCCTGGCCCGGCAGCAGAGCATGACGGCCTGCAGTCAAAAGCCAACGTGTATGGCGCCGTTCTTGAGCAGGTTCTGCAAGCGTAGAGATCAGGAAT